ATCAGATTAAAGCCAAGGGTTCGTGAAGTGGTTTATAGATTCTTTATGGGAATTCTAGCTACAAGGTCAGCGCTATATAGAATGGGTTATGTAGGTGCGGGCACTTGTTTGCATTGTGGGGAAGAGGAGACAGCTTTTCATGCTGTATATTTTTGTGAAAACTTGGAGTTTGTAAGGACATGGTTAGCGAGGGTCCTGGGTATAGTGGCGGGAGGGGGGAGAAACATTTCGACTTTGAGGGCTTTGCATTTTGATGTGGGCGGGGTTTCCAAGGACATTCGGAGGGCAGTGATGTATGTAGGGGCAGATTTTTTGTATTGTTTTGGGTGCTTTGCGGGGGGTGGGGGTAAATGTAGGGTCGGGGCATTTGCGGCGAGTGTGTATCGTACAGTATCAAAAATAGGCTACATATGGGAGGGTGGGGGTAAATATTTTTCCCCCTTGGGTTATCGAATCTGACAGTAGGTATAATGTTAGGTTGGGGTTTTAGAGCTGGGTTGGGCTGTTTCTCTCTAAACTGGGATTTTTTTCCGTTTTGAGATAGTGGGGGATGGGAAATGGAAAAAAAGTGGTGTGGTAGTGGAGATATGGGTGGTAAAGTCGTTAGGAATGGGGGGGCTAGGGGGGAACTGGTGAATTTGGTTAAGAGACAGGGGTTTTATGACCCTTTGACGTCAGGTACGGACTTGAGCATGAAAGGGAAAGTGAGGTGTGTTTAAATACAGATGCATGGGGTCAGGGGATGGCGGGGGTGGCTTTCTGAAGTGACTTTTGCCAGGGTGGTTTTGTTTTAATGATTGAGGTAGTACGCCCTGTACAGTTTTATTAGGACCCTAAATTATATTATGTAAAATTAGTGCGTGACAAAGTCTGATATTTCTTGGGGCATTGTTTAAAAAATATATAAATTTTGTTGAACATGATAAAACATAAAAAAGGGGTATGTATTAGTGTGGAGTTCCAATTTTTAGTGTAGTTACCATAAGTTTGGTACCCTTTCCTTTGTCAAATAATTACTATCTATATATTGTATAAAAATTTTATTTAGTTAGTTCTTTTTTTATACTTTTAATGAACAAAGTAAGATGTTTGACCATGCAAGTGGTATTTATCTTGCATGGGGAAAAGGGGGGGTTAATTTTAATTTTATTGGATCATAAAGCATGTCATTGAATGTTGTAACTGTATTTAGAAGACGGAAGGTTTGGGGATTTTCAATAATGTATTAATTTTATTAAAATTTTAGGAATTTTTTGCGTAAAAACAATGTACCCTATTATCGGATTATAAGTATTGAATTTTTTTTGTTTATTTTAATAAATTTTGATTGATGAAAAGTATAATCTGGGATTTTCTTTGGGGTTTTAAAAGATAAAAAAGCATAGGGATGGGGGAGATTTTTTGTCAGCACAAAGAGAAAAAGCAGTGGTATTTAGAAAAAGGAAAATTTTTATTTTTCTGTGGAGGAGTCGATAAGGGGTTCTTATGTTCTTTTATTTTATTGTATTCTAATGTATTTTTAAATTCAATGACTGATGGTGGTTATGAGTGGTGATGGCAGACACAGTTACTAGGCATGTGGGGGGGGGGTTGAAGTGTCAGCGGTAGTGTATTAAACCCACCACCGTGCACGATATTGATTGTTATCATAGGGTATATGAGGGTTAGGGTGTGGATTGGTTTCAATGGTGGATGTGTGCCATCATGTCCTCAATGCTCTTATAAATGTATAAGAGATTTGTCAATGAGTATACTAAGGTGAAAGTGGTATGTTTTCAAGGGGGGAAGGGAGTGTAAGCATTACTAGGTAGGACTATCGTTTATTATAAGACCATCTTTTCACGTGAAGCACAGTACATAAAAGCAGTGTTTGATTGGAGTGCAGCCAGTTCTGATGTCATTATATAAGTGCTTCTTCGGTATTTGTGTAGTCACTGCAGATTATTGTTTCACTGCCTGTATCTTGCTACATATTGATTATGTACCCATATATTTTGTACCTGAGTTTTAAATAAAATATAAAAAAAAAATCTTAAAACTCCAAAACAAGATGCCCAAAGTTCATACATTGATTAATACTACATTGTAGTATTTTAGTAATTTAGTAATACGTATAGTAATTTAAGCATACAAACAGAGGTACAAAAAATACAGGTAAGAGCAGCATACCAAAGCCACTTATATGCATAGCATTACGGGCTGGCTTAAAATTAACTTAAGATTAACTAAGCAATGATGAAATCAGTGATAAAACATTATTGTAAACAGATAACTATAAAGCACAAATGAGTATTACAAAGACAGCTCATATGGTTGCTTGCATTGCTGTACATTCAGTCGAATGGAGTATTCTGTTAGGTAGTGTATTTAAAAAAATAATAAAGTTAGATTGGGTCCTAGGTTTACATTTGTGTGATATAATTGTGAGTAACATATAGGATATACAATTTATAAGGTTCAGTTATTCAGTATTTATTTGGTTTTGAGTGAGTAAGTGATCTTTGAGAAGAGACTTGAATTTATAAACAGGTAGTGTTTCTTTTATATTTACAGGTAATGAATTCCAGATTTTAGGGCCTTTTATGTGCATTGAGTTTTTGCATAGCGCGAGATGGACACGAGGAACATCAAAGAGTGATCTGTGCCTTGTGTTATGGTCATGTGTTCTGTTGAGGTTGGCAAGGAGTATTAAAAGTAAAATAAAAATAAAATACTGCCTTACAACCGATTGTAGCATTCTCATACTATAATCTACTTTCAACAACTCACAACGTTATATTCCTAAAATATAATTTCAATATTTATTATTGAAACTATTGTAATTTGAGTACAATTAATGTCTACTATAAATAAAAACAGATGTGCTACATAAACAATTTATGATCAATTTATTTAGTATTAAGTAGTCTGTAAGCCATTAAATTAAATTAAATTAAATAAATAAATAAATAAATAAATAAAATAAAAAGTCTGCCCATAATGCCTAGGCATGATAGTGGCTCTCTTTGCACTACAACTCATTATTGTAATTTCATATTTTCAATGTAATCTTGCAAAGAAATAAAATTTGTTTGTTTGTTTATATTATTATGATGGGGTAGCACTGAACCCGTAGGATTATACAGCGCCTGTGGGGGGGGGGAAGGGATGGAAGGTATTCTGGCTTAATTTAGGGAACTGAAATACAGATACAATTCTCTAGATCAAGAGCCCCTCACCAGCATCAAGGAACCTCCCTTGAGGGGAAAGCTTGCTCGCATCCTGAATTTTTGCTCGTATCCAGAAACAAAAAATTGACCAAGCGACTGCTCATATCCTCAAAAACTTGTATGGTGGGGCACTCGTAAGCCAAGGTTCCACTGTACTTGTCTTATTGTATGTATAATTGTAGATAACTGCATAAGAAATCTTATTTAACCCTTAAATGGTCCAAACGTATATATACGTTTTTTCAACATCTGAAAGCATGTAAAACAATGTTGATCTTTTTTTTTTGTTTTACACGTGAAAACGTGTAAAAAAAAACTTTTATCTCCTCTTTTTTGTTATATTTGAAAATATGTAAAAAAAAAAGTAGATCTACTTTTGTAGCACTACGAATTTGAACATCGATCTGTTTGGACCGTTTAAGGGTTAATAGTCTATGTCTAATTCTAAATTAGTCTTTAAGAATTAGAATTAGTTTGCCTTAAATGCAATGCATTCTTTTATGTATTATTAATTACATGTAAGATAATATTTGCTTTGGATTTTTAACCCCGGAGGGCTAGCCACCCTGGATAACCCAAGGAAGGCAGTGCATCATCGAGGGACTGTCTTATTTTCATTGGGGTCCTCAATCTTGTCCCCCAGGATGCGACCCACACCAGTTGACTAACATCCAGGTACCTACTTGCTAGGCGAACAGGACAACAGGTACAAGGAAACACACTGAAATGTTTCCACCCCGCCGGGAACTGAACCCGGGTCCTCAGGGTGTGAAGCAAGAGCTTTGCCAGCCAAGCCACAGTGCCCCATACCTGCTTTGGGGGGTCAATGCCCCCGTGGCCTGGTCTGTGACCAGGCCTCATGGTGGATCAGGACTTGATCAGTCAGGCTGTTACTGCTGGCCACAGGCAACCCGACGTACAAACCACAGCCCGGCTGGTCAGGTACGGACTTGAGGTGCCTGTCCAGTGCTTTCTTGAAGACAGCCAGGGGTCTATTGGTAATCGCCCTTATGTATGCTTGGAGGCAGTTAAACAGTCTTGGGCCCCAGACACTAACTGCATTTTGTCTTTTTGTGATAGTGGTGCCCCTGCTTTTCATTAGGGGGACGTTGCTGTGTGCATTATTTTTTTAACTACATAAGAAATATTATTACAATCAAAACTAAGCGCTAAACCCACAGGGGCAATTTAAAGAAATAATTATTTAATTTATATTAATATTTGTAGACATTAATAGTGAGCAAGCGGTGTGACGTCACCGTCGACTCTTACCGCGCGTGCACAATCTACATTTGTAAATACTGTTTGTAATTACTCTTTTTTTATTTCCAGACAAATATATTGCTTTATGTTGCTTCTTAAGTTGTTATTTGCTCTCTAAGAAGTGTGACTGTTGTTATTTGTTGTATTTTGTGGTTGTTAAAAGACGTTGTGTGTAACAACTGTGGTTCTAATAAACCCAGGTCAAAGATGAAATATTACAGGGTGAAACATAGCAGCGTGAGTGACATAGAAGTTAAGACGGACATAGATGACAGAGACTCACTAATGCGCTGAGAAACTTGTAAAAATCCCAGGAACAAATTATTTAGTCCCGCTGAGTTCATGGCCGCCTTACAGGTGTACCATCCTAGACATTTATTATCATAACATTCCCCTAAATCATCTTTTATTTAACTAAGCAGCAGCATCTAAATTTAACATATCTGTATATTTATATTTTAAAATTATGCAGACATGTCTAAAAAAATTAGTTATGTTTAAATGGTTTATTTAGTGTTGAGGAATGTTTGGAGTTGTTGGTGATCCTGAGTGGAGGAACAAGATGGCTGGTCACATCAGATGAAGGTTGATGGTTATTATTACGTCCAATGGCTGTGTTTGAGGGTGAGGTGACGCCCACCGGCTCCCTCTATGAACTATGATGAAGAAGGTCAGTTTGTCGCAGCTGCTGAGCCGCTCACCTCGCCATGGCAGCACCACCAGCAGGAGTAATGGTGAAGTGGTGGTGGTGGGATCACCCTCCAATAACATTATCTCCAACACTCACATCTCCAACACTACCACCTCAAACATACACTCCTCCAACACTACCACCTCAAATATACACTCCTCCAACACCAGCTCCTCAAACATACACTCCTCCAACACTACCACCCCCAATATACACTCCAACACTACCACCTCCACTATACACACCAACATTATTACCTCCAACAGCACCTCCAGCACGTCTCCATCTCCTCCAACAAACTCCAACACTCAAGACAAAATACCCAAGAAAAAAAACAAAAGTGGCATTCTACAGACGTTAAAGAAGAAAATCAGTGGTAAGCTGGACACGCTACACAACAACACCCCAAAGAAAAGTAAAAGTTTCGAGGGTTTATCTAACAGCTTCGGCGACTCGTTCTCACAGTCTATTAGTGAAGAGTCGTCTAGTGATGGTTTGAACGCTAGTGGTGGCCAGAGTCACAAAGTCAAGCATAATAAACGTGCGATCCGTCCTATGCACACCCCTATAACGCGACAGAACTCCGCCTCTCATGTTTTGACTGACTCCGAGAGCGAAGTATTAACTAAAACGACTCACGGAGAATGTGTGCGAGTGTCTGGAAATAAAGTTTGTGAGGCTGTGTTGACATCTCAGACTCAGGTCGCTACAGTGTCGCTCTATAGTAAAAGTAGCTACACAACCGATACTAATTCCCCAATGGTATTATCAGAGACGATAGGGCCTAAAGTGAGTCTGGGAAAAAACAAAGGTGTGACTTTACCCCAAGTGTTGGTGGAAAGTGTCGGCAGCAAAGTGGCATCGTACGGCTTGATGCCCAGTGCCAAACAAATGCCTAACAGTGTGGAACGCAGTGCCATATCAGAGACGTCTTCACCGCAGCCCAATAGAACGTATGGCGGTGAACTATGGGACCTGCAGGACATGAATTTTGATGCCAGTAAAAGAAGTTTAGCAGAGGAACTTTTCCGGCTAGCCAAGTTTGGGTGGTATTGGGGTCCAATAACTAGAGCTGAAGCCGAGGAGAAGTTGTTAGACCAGCCTGATGGAGCGTTCCTGGTGCGGGACTCCTCCGATGACAAGTATTTGTTAAGTCTGAGCTTTAGATCATTTAACAAGACTCTCCACACCAGGATTGAACACAGCAATGGTTTGTAAACTTAACCTCTCCATCATATATATTAGTGTGACCTTTGGGTTTAGCACTTCACTGTGATTATAATATTGTACATTTATGATTAAATTTTACTTGTAAAAAAAGAAATTTCACAAAATATTGTATTTGGTTTACAGCAGAACCATAGCACACTAACCCTTCAAGGAGTTTCCTGATGCCATAGAGAGGCTCTTCATCCAAGAAATTGGATTTATCCTTCCCTTAGATCAAGCCTTATTGCCTCCCATTTCCCAGACACTTGTAAGGGTTTAGTGCATCCCATGATTGTAATACAGTTGCTCCATGGCTTGCTATGTGGCCAGTGGCTGGGTTGACAGTGTTCTTGCCTCACACACACCGTGTCTGGGGTTCAGTCCCCAGCTAGGTAGAAACATTGTGTGTGTGTTTCCTTACACCTGCTGTCCTTGCTCACCAAGCAGTCAGTAGGTACGTGGATGTCAGTCAACTTGTATAAGGGTTGCATCCTGGGGCACAGTATTACGTGGAGTTTACCTGGAGAGAGTTCGGGGGGTCAATGCCCCCGCGGCCCGGTCTGTGACCAGGCCTCCTGGTGGATCAGAGCCTGATCAACCAGGCTGTTGCTGCTGGCTGCACGCAAACCAACGTACGAGCCACAGCTCAGCTGGTCAGGAACCAACTTTAGGTGCTTGTCCAGTGCCAGCTTGAAGACTGCCAGGGGTCTGTTGGTAATCCCCCTTATGTATGCTGGGAGGCAGTTGAACAGTCTCGGGCCCCTGACACTTATTGTATGGTCTCTTAACGTGCTAGTGACACCCCTGCTTTTTATTGGAGGATGTTGCATCGTCTGCCAAGTCTTTTGCTTTCGTAGTGAGTGATTTTCGTGTGCAAGTTCGGTACTAGTCCCTCTAGGATTTTCCAGGTGTATATAATCATGTATCTCTCCTGCCTGCGTTCCAGGGAATACAGGTTTAGGAACCTCAAGCTCTCCCAGTAATTGAGGTGTTTTATTTCCGTTATGCGCAGCGTGAAGGTTCTCTGTACATTTTCTAGGTCAGCAATTTCACCTGCCTTGAAAGGTGCTGTTAGTGTGCAGCAATATTCCAGCCTAGATAGAACAAGTGACCTGAAGAGTGTCATCATGGGCTTGGCCTCCCTAGTTTTGAAGGTTCTCATTATCCATCCTGTCATTTTTCTAGCAGATGCGATTGATACAATGTTATGGTCCTTGAGGGTGAGATCCTCCGACATGATCACTCCCAGGTCTTTGACGTTGGTGTTTCGCTCGTGTTTACCATATCTGAGTAATTGAAATTTCTCATCGTTGAACTTCATATTGTTTTCTGCAGCCCACTGAAAGATTTGGTAGATGTCTGCCTGGAGCCTTGCAGTGTCTGCAATGGAAGACACTGTCATGCAGATTCGGGTGTCATCTGCAAAGGAAGACACGGTGCTGTGGCTGACATCCTTGTCTATGTCGGATATGAGGATGAGGAACAAGATGGGAGCGAGTACTGTGCCTTGTGGAACAGAGCTTTTCACCGTAGCTGCCTCGGACTTTACTCTGTTGACGACTACTCTCTGTGTTCTGTTAGTGAGGAAATTATAGATCCATCGACCGACTTTTCCTGTTATTCCTTTAGCACGCATTTCGTGCGCTATTACGCCATGGTCACACTTGTCGAAGGCTTTTGCAAAGTCTGTATATATTACATCTGCATTCTTTTTGTCTTCTAGTGCATTTAGGACCTTGTCGTAGTGATCCAATAGTTGAGACAGACAGGAGCGACCTGTTCTAAACCCATGTTGCCCTGGGTTGTGTAACTGATGGGTTTCTAGATGGGTGGTGATCTTGCTTCTTAGGACCCTTTCAAAGATTTTTATGATATGGGATGTTAGTGCTATCGGTCTGTAGTTCTTTGCTGTTGCTTTACTGCCCCCTTTGTGGAGTGGGGCTATGTCTGTTGTTTTTAATAACTGTGGGACGACCCCCGTGTCCATGCTCCCTCTCCATAGGATGGAAAAGGCTCGTGATAGGGGCTTCTTGCAGTTCTTGATGAACACGGAGTTCCATGAGTTTGGCCCTGGGGCAGAGTGCATGGGCATGTCATTTATCGCCTGTTTGAAGTCATTTGGCGTCAGGATAACATCGGATAGGCTTGTGTTAACCAAATTTTGTGGCTCTCTCATAAAAAATTAATTTTGATCTTCGACTCTCAGTCTGGTTAGCGGCTTGCTAAAAACTGAGTCATATTGGGGCTTGAGTAGCTCACTCATTTCCTTGCTGTCATCTGTGTAGGACCCATCTTGTTTAAGTAGGGGCCCAATACTGGACGTTGTTCTCGACTTTGATTTGGCATAGGAGAAGAAATACTTTGGGTTTCTTTCGATTTCATTTATGGCTTTTAGTTCTCGCGATTCCTGACTCCTATAAGATTCCTTTAGCTTAAGTTCGATGCTTGCTATTTCTCTGACCAGTGTCCCCCTACGCATTTCAGATATATTGACCTCTTTTAGCCGCTCTGTTATTCTTTTCCGTCGCCTGTACTCAATGATGCACTGATTTCTTAAGTTATTCTGGGTAGCTAACCCACTGGATTAAAAATCTGTACAATTCTTGCCTATCTAACCTTAACCCCTAGCAGTTTTCCAGTATATATTGTGTGTTGTGTGGTAAATCACCAGTTATTGGTGTACAGGATTTAAAGAAAAGAATAAATGCATCATCTTTGTTTTCCCTATTGTTTGCATCTTCCTTTTCATATTATCTGTTTAATGTCAAGCAAACTTTCCATACCACTGACATCAGTAAGTTAACCAGGTGGCAGGTTCGGTGACTTGTTGAAATGCTGTATAATTATGAGTTATCCCTCAACATAACTTAGGCTATGTTAGGTTATAGTGTTTGCCAAGAGTTTTTTTTTTTTTTCCAATTTTCTGTATGTGGGATTACCCATCACAAGTAATAAAATACTGTAGATCTCCAGTGACCTGTGACCTCCTGTTGGGATGCTATGTATGAAAAAGATTTCAGGGTAAGATATGATTTGTTTGGATTTTTAACTTGGAAGGTTAGCCACTCAGGATAATCCAATAAAGTCAGTGCATCCTCAGGGAGGGAAAATTCTTAGGAATCCACCTTGATAGTAGACTCAAATTTCATACACATATACAACAAATTTCTAAGAAAATTTCCAAGACTGTAGGCATACTATCGAAGATACAGTACTATGCTCCACAGTTAGCCCTCCTAGCCCTATATCACTCTCTTATTTACCCCTATCTCACCTATGGAATTTGTGCATGGGGCTCAACAACAATTAACCATCTCAGACCACTAATTACCCAACAAAAGGCTGCAGTTAGAATGATAACAAATTCTCACTACAGGCAGCACACTCCACCAATATTCAAAACACTAAACCTACTCACCATACAAAACATCCATACTTATTACTGCACCTATTACATACATAGAACACTTAACTCTGATATTAACCCTCCCTCAAACATCTCCTTGCCAACCTCAACAGAACACATGACCATAACACAAGGCACAGATCACTCTTTGATGTTCCTCGTGTCCATCTCACGCTATGCAAAAACTCAATGCACATAAAAGGCCCTAAAATCTGGAATTCATTACCTGTAAATATAAAAGAAACACTACCTGTTTATAAATTCAAGTCTCTTCTCAAAGATCACTTACTCACCCAAAACCAAATAAATACTGAATAACTGAACCTTATAAATTGTATATCTTAAATGTTTCTCACAATTATATCACATAAATGTTAAACCTAAAACCCAATCTAACAGAATACTCCATTCGACTGAATGTACAGCAATGCATGCAACCATATGACCTGTCTTTGTAATACTCATTTGTGCTTTATAGTTATCTGTTTACAATAATGTCTTATCACTGATTTCATCATTGCTTAGTTAATCTTAAGTTAATTTTAAGCCAGCCCATAATGCTATGCATATAAGTGGCTTTGGCATGCTGCTCTTACCTGTATTTTTTTGTACCTCTGTATGTATGCTCAAATTACTAAATAAATAAATAAATAAATCCTTTAATATTATCCCCCAAGATGCAACCCACAAGTCAATTAACACCCAGGTACCTACCTAATGCTAGGTGAACAGGGATAGTATGTATGTGTATGGAAACATGTTCAACATTTTTACCTATGCTGGAATTGAACCCCGGATACTCAGTATGCAAGCTGAATGCGCTGTCAACCAAGCCACGGGACACTCCTGTGGTGGAGGATAATGGTGAGCATCAAATAAGTGATCACCAGATAATCAATCTATTATTATTATTATTATCATCATTATTATTGTATTATTATTATTATTATTATCATCATTATTATTATTATTATTATTAAAGTGTGTAGTGGAATTTTTTTTTTTGTTTGTAGCAGTTTTCAGGAAAATAATCTGGGTTAACACAAATATACAGTTGTTACAGACTCGTAACTTAATTACTGCACTGTGAAATTGTGTAAAATTGGCCATATTACAGACTTCTGTGCACTTTATAGAAAAGTTGAAATATTTGTATGGGCAGTTTCCTGTGCTCAGTTGGTAGAACAGAAGCCATTCTAACAAAATAGCTAAGAATTTGGTTGAATGACACAATAGATTTGACTTAAACAAAGATTCATCAAAGTGGATAAAATTGCTGATACATCAATTGCACCTTGACTTTGGACCTTGTGCCTTCATAATTCCATAAGTTTTTCATCACATTTCATACTTTTGGTGTCATTACCTTCAGAAAACGATTCTCTACCATTTCAGATTTTTTTATATATATATAAAAAGTTGACACTGGGAGCAATATTAATTTTGGGGGTCTGGACAGTGAAAGGGTAAGTAAGTTTATTTAGGGACAGGTGAAGGCAATCCCCTACTTATACAGCAGGTTAGGTTCTGGGCTACTGCTGTAAAGTGAAACATAACTTCTTCCTTCCTTTTTTACTTTCAAATGTATATAAAAGCCTGATAACATGTTTACTCTATCATATATCGTGTTGGGCAAATATTTTTTGTGGCTCTGGTGGCCTGGTGGCTAACGCTCTTACTTCACATGGCAAGGGCCTGGGTTCGATTCCCAGCCAGAGTAGAAACATTGGGTGTGTTTCTTTACACCTGTTGTCTATGTTCCCCATCAGTAAAATGGGTACCTGGGTGTTAGTCGACTGGTGTGGGTCGCATCCTGGGACACTGACCTAATTTGCCTGAAATGCTAAGCATAACAAGGGGCTTTCTATATAGTAGTATGTCACTGATGTCAGCTAGGCCTGTATACCATGTACATGTACTTGTAGTAAATAAAGATATTATTATTATTATTAGTGGGTTTGATTTGAGAAGGACCTGCCCAGTATGTCAGTAGGACTGTTGCAATGTTCCTTCTTTCTAATGATCTTATATATGAAGTGAGCAATAGATCTTGGCCTCAAAAATACATATACAGTACACACATTACTTACCTTAAAAAAAATTTCATCCTTAGCTAATAGTGAGTGATGAATATATTTATTGTATTACAGTGAACCCCCGGTTTACGATCAGCTCCCAGTGCGACCAATTATGTAAGTGTATTTATGTAAGTGCGTTTGTACGTGTATGTTTGGGGGTCTGAAATGGACTAATCTAATTCACAATATTTCTTATGGGAACAAATTCGTTCAGTAATGGCACCTGAACATACTTCTGGAATGAAATAATATCGTAAGCCGGGAGTCCACTGTATTATTTTAGCAAACACCGTAAAGCGGGGGCCCTCCTGTACACATATGTACAATTATCATACATAGTGTAAATTACCTAGGATAACCCCCCAAAAAAGTCAGACACTGTGATTTATTTCCTTTGGGGTCCTTGATAATATGTGTGATTCACATATTTTTTCCAGGATGGTTCAGCTTTTATCCCCATCCTGAGCATGAGGGCTACTCAAGTTTAGTAGGTCTTATTGATCACTGTATGAGCCACTCAGAGTCGGGAGTGTTTTGTTACTCTCGGGCGCGTGTACCAGGATCACCATCCTTTCCAGTTCGACTCACCAAACCTGTTTCAAGGTTTACTCAGGTAAACAGATTTTATGCCTAAGTTACATTACTTGATAACAGTAAATTACAGTAACTTTTTCTTGATGCTGTATCTGGTTATCTATCATATATTCTTTCTAAAATATCAAAGTCCTTTACAGCTTTACTTGGATCTTGCATATAAAATATACTGTTTTTATAAATATCTTTTTGTAATTAGGTTTTAACTTTGCTCTTTACCACACACATTTCCCATACTTTATTCTTATGCCATTTTAATTTTTTTTTTTTATTATCACACTGGCCGATTCCCACCAAGGCAGGGTGGCCCGAAAAAGAAAAACTTTCACCATCATTCACTCCATCACTGTCTTGCCAGAAGGGTGCTTTACACTACAGTTTTTAAACTGCAACATTAACACCCCTCCTTCAGAGTGCAGGCACATTTTAATATGTATGGTATATACCTTATACTCTATACCAACCCATTATACCCCTTTCTACCCTTATTTATAATTTTATATCAAATAAAACAGAGTTATGCCTGTTACAATGAATTTTTGCATTTCTTTTTTCACACATCTAGCACTGGGCACTTTGATACTTGAAAATAGTGAAAAGTTCTTCTGTTATAGTTTAATAATGATTTTGAATTTTACAGGTGCGATCTTTGCAATACCTATGCCGATTTGTGATTAGACAATACACCCGTGTGGACCACATCCAAGCCTTGCCTCTTCCAACAAGAATAAAAGGCTACTTAGAAGAGGGACATTACTAATCCACATACAAGAACCTCAGTAATGTGGTAGTTTTAGTATATTGTCATTATTAATTTGCCATTTACAGTATATTGGTTATTTTCTATAGTGACAATTTTTCATTTCAAGAAACTTGTGTATCATTTTCCTTATGTCAGTTTACAAGGTAATCGAATATGATGCATTTTAGAAAAATATTTTCGGTTGGTTAAGGATTTTGTGCCAGTAAACACACTAATTATTTATATTTTATTTTCACTCTCCAATGATTTAATATAGGCCAGAGCAAGATAATGCTTAATGATAAGTTACTAATACTGAAAATAAAAAAAACCGTTTACAAATGCCATTTAGTTATGTTGTAATTTAGATTCTCATAGCAATATTTATTCATAAAAGCAAACTTAAGGAAAATTGTTAGAAAACTTGACCCTGATACTGTTGTGAAATTTTTTCTAAATTTGTTAATTTAATATTCTGAGTGTACCTATAATTTTTGTCCTCTTTTTACTGAACTTTCATTTGTAATACAACATATTTTATTCACTTACACAAGTAATATTACTTTACTGTTTTATATCTTAGGATTTGTCAGGTTGGTGACAACCTGACAAATTTTAGTATGTATCTTATTTATATTTTGAAAATTAATTGAATCTTGGAAATTTTGTTGTACTTTTCTGAATACACTATATTTTTCTTAAAATGTAATCTTTAATTTAAAATAGATATTTTGTATGAGTGAGTTTAATTCAAATATTGACTAGCATATGAAACTTCAATTTAATAGTGCATTGCACTTTCATCCAGAAGATTTGGTAATTTGCATTAATCAGATAAGTTATTAAAATGATGAGCATCTTGTGATGACTTAAAGCTCTTAAGTGTGTGTGATAATGCAATCATTGCTAAATATTTCTTGTAACCAGCTGCAGGTTGACAAGTCTTAGACACATGCCTTCATCAGTGATATTGTTTATATGTACACTGAGTTTTCCCACAAATGATCTACCATATTTTGTGTAGCTATTCGTATAGTGGGTACTAGGTAGGGAATGCAGATGGAAATCGGCATGTGGTACAGTAATCATCTAGTAATATGCCAAATGGCAGTTAAAATGGCAGTGTGTTTTATTTTGTTTTAAACAGAATCTGAGGCAGCCACTGTGTGTGTGTGTGTGAGAGGGAGAATGAGAGAGAGAGAATTAGAATGAGAATGAACTTTACCAAGATTCTCAAATGCTATACTACCAAGGTTAAAATTTACCCACCGCTATATTAGTTCATTAATGGAATTTGGTGCTTTGTATGCAGATATTGATAATGGCATTGATTTATATTTAATGCTTATTGCTTTTCTTTTGCAACGTGTGATAAATATTGAGCTGATAAATAATTTGGTTTATTGAAAAATACAGAAAAATTAGCATTGTAGTTAATTACATAAGGATTGTGTTATTTTATTGAATTTTGTAATTATTTCTGCTGAAAATTTTGTTAAGTGAGTTGTGCCATAAAACATTAGAAGAGATTAAACAATATCTTCTTTAGTTAGGTAAATGAAAATTGTTAATCAAAGTTCTTATTTTATTTTAATTTATGATGTTATGCACTCTTAATATAAGGTGTATTAAATTGTTGCGTTTTATAAAAAAAAAAGTACCTTGCACACACAGCCATGTCACATGTGAGATGTTTCATAAACGATATCCACAGGAGTCAGAGTTTCTATATAAAGTAAATTACATATACGTATACATATTTTTTCTAACAATGGCCATCTCCCACCAAGGCAGGACAGCCTGAAACAAACACTCACCATCATTCACACTATCACTGTCTTGCCAGAGGTACACAGATACTGTAGTTCAGATGTCCCTCCAAACAACAGATATCCCCACTCCTTTAGAGTGTAGGCCTCTTCAAGGGGGGCTCCTTGGCGTGGTGAAGAGGCTCTTGGTCTGAGGAATTAGACCTGTCGGTCTACTTCCTCAGACCGAACCTAATTACCCCCCAATCCCCCATTCCCTATCCCATCCTCCCCATCCTCCCCTTTTTCCTTTCCTCCTCCTCCTCCCCACCCCTCCCTTTTGCCCTTCCTTTTTGGCCTTTTTTTTTTTTTTTTTTTTTTTTTTTTTTTTTTTCCCCCACAGGCACGCTAGTTCCTAGGTAGGGGAAAGGGTACCGGGGTCCATCCCATTCCGTTGAGGTTCTTGGCGGTGGCATAGTTTGCCGTGGAATCTGGATTGCCTGGGGATGTCCTGATCGCTCTCCGGTATCCCGGAGGGTGGCTTTGGGTGTCTCTCGGGCGATGGGTGTATCTCTGGAAGCCACCTTTCGGATTCCGGGGGTGGTGGCCGAAGGAGGTATGCTTTGTGGCGGATTTCCAGCCGCCCTCTCTTTTGTCCACCGAGGTAGCTCGGCAGATGCGAGGTTGCTATCCCGGATTGCCGGTTTACTGGCATGATGGGTAGGATATGGCACGGGTTCCATGCTGCATCTGCACTACTTGCGTTGCTGAGGTCCTCTTGGGCGCGGAGGGAGATTTCTGGCCCTTTCATTCCTCCTAGGAACTATCCTTCCCCGGTCCCCCCTTTTTTTATTCTTTTTTTTATTTTTATTTTCTTTTCCTCTTTCTTTTTTTTTCTTAAAAACAAAAAGAAAGAAGTAACCTAATCATGGCAGCCCTAGTCCATGAACCTGCTACCCCCGGGCCCCTTCTTGATACCGCACCCCGTTCTGACCCCGCCTCGTCTTTGGACCACTCTTCGGACACTCCTCATGCCTCTGTACCTCTTGCCGGTGCTGTTTCCTCACCCGCTTCAGGTACTGAGGCCTCGACTGACTCCTTCGATTTATCGGACCTTCGCTCTCCTCTGACTATGCTTCTGGCCTCTCCCTCTACGGTGCGGCAATTTTCGAATCGCCGGCCCGTTCCACGTCGGACCAACTCTGGTCTCACGCCCAAACGACAACGACAATTACCTGCTGATGATACTTCTCCACCTTCTCGTTCTTCTCAGAAAAGATCGACACGTCCTTCACTACCTTTCCACGCTCAGTTTCAGACTGCACAATGGACTAAATTCTTCACTTTACGACCGACTTCCTCTACTGCCTATCTTTCTGACCACAGTATTGGCAAGGCACTCCTACGCCATGTTGGTAAAGATATTTCTTTTCATGCTCTTAAGAGCGGTACGCGCATCGTCACCGTACAGAATGCTACCCAGGCTCATGAGCTTTCTCGTCTTTCCCATATTGATACTGTTCCTGTAACTATTGAAAAGCATCATTCCCTCAATTCTTGATGTGGTACAGTCATTCTGCCCCATACCATAGTTCAACAAAATTTCCAGACATGTGGCACTGACATTCTTGAACAGCTGGAACTCCAAGATCTTCCAATCCTCAAGGTAGACACTACGTTCTTCCTGCCCGTGGGCGGAGACGATACCCTAGCAATGTGGCTCGTTTAACTTTCGACAGCCGTGAACTCCCATCCTCAGTTTATGTAGCAGGACATCGGTTACAAGTTCGAAAGGTGATCCCTACACCGCAACAGTGTAGAAATTGCTGGCAATTTGGCCATCCAGCGAAATATTGCAGATCTATCGCCGAATGCCCAGTCTGTGGTGCCGATGACCATTCTAATACGTCTTGCAATCGACCTTCCTCTTGCCTTAATTGTCATGAGGCTCACCCTTCGTACTCTCGCCGTTGTCAAGTCTACTTAAACGAGCAGGAAATCCGTTACCTCAAAGAGGCAGAAGGTCTCCCTTATGCCATGGCAGTTTCTCATCTCCGCCTCCAAGGGAGACTACCTCGTGTTTCTTATTCCCGTGTTTCAAAACGTCCCCCCACTTCTGGTATCCCATCTTCTGCACCCACCTCTGTGGTTACCTCTCCCATAGTCACTCCTGTAGCTAATTCTTTTGCTGTCCTCGGCTCAGACGTCCCTACTTCAACGTCGCAGTCTGATCTTGCTTCTTCGTGTTCTCTCTCACAAGCCTCAGTAGAGACGAGATCTCGTATGACACCTCCTCCCAATCGTCCCTCTACTTCTCAAAAGTCAAAAAAAGGTCTGTTAACACCTCCTACCCATCTTCCACCTCCTCATTTTCCCTTCCCTGTCTCAGTACCTGGTTCTCCCCCTCTCACTGGCTCTGTTACAAGTGTAGAGTTTCACCCTCCTCCTCGTACTGTTCCTTCCTCCCCTGTTCCCTCCCAGGTTTCTTCCTCTTCTGCCACCTCCCAGGTTTCTGCTTCTGTCCCCTTTCACGCTTCTCCAGTTCCCTCCACCCTTTCGCCCCCCCCCTACCTTGGTACAGTCCATTACAGTTCCAATCTTTACTCATCCTCCCCCTACCATTTCCAATATTGTCTCCCATACGATGTCTCTGAATTCTGAAACACTTGAAGCAATCTCTGAATATACTGCAGAGACCAAACCATCAATGGACACTGATCCACCCTCCGCTCCTTCTCTCTCCTCTACTCCATCTGCGCAACTCCTTTCTTCACAGCGCACCGTTCCTTCGCTGCTTGAACGTTTTCCACTGCCTCCGCATGTGGACTTTTCTAACCCCTCTATTCCGTAGGAACCCTTACCTGCGGATTTCAGGTATCTTTATCATTGCCAATCATGGCCTATTTACAGTGGAATATTCGCGGCCTCAGGGGTAATCGGGGTGAGCTTCAGATGTTACTCTCCCAGTTTTCCCCTGTTGGTGTTTGCTTACAGGAACCAAAATTACACTCTGCTGTTATCTCTCCCATCTCAGGCTATAATTTATTGTATTCTTCAGATCCTTTTCCTGATGGGACCTTTAATGAAAGTGCCCTTCTTCTACGCACTGATATTCCATACCATCAGCTATTTGTTCGTACTTCGCTGCATTACACAGCAGCCCGTATCCACTTGCATAGGTGGTATACGCTCTGTTCTTTATATCTCTCTCCTTCTCGGGCATTATCTATTCTGGATATTGCCTTTCTTGTTTCGTCATTACCACCACCGATTCTGTTACTTGGTGATTTTAATGCCCGCCATTTCCTCTGGGGGGTCTCACTGTGATTCCCGTGGCATTCAGTTAGAGGCTTTTCTTGCCACCCACCCCCTCCATGTTTTAAATACAGGTACTCACACCCATTTTGATCCTCGGACTCACACTCTCTCTTGCATCGATCTCTCAGTCTGCTCTTCCTCCGCCGCATTAGACTTCACTTGGTCTGTTCTTCCGGACTTACATGACAGCGATCATTTCCCAATCATTCTTACTTCCCCTTCATATTCACCACCTCTTCGCATCCCACGCTGGCAATTTGATCAGGCAAATTTGAACCTTTACTCACACCTAACTGTTTTTAGAGAGGTTCCTTCTTCGTCCTCCATTGATGAGCTTTTACACCTCTTCTCGTCCTCCGTTTTAACCGCAGCTTCTCATTCTATACCCCAAACTTCGGGCAGGCATTCTCAGAAATGCGTGCCTGGGTGGTCTCCTGCTTGTGCTCGTGCAGAACGTTTGAAACGCGCTGCATGGGGCAGGTACCGGTACAATAGAACCACAGAGAGACTTCTTGATTTTAAACAGAAGCGTGCGATCGCTCGCCGTGTCATCCGTGACGCTAAACGCACTTGCTGGCGAGATTATGTCTCCACCATCACCTCTGCTTCCTCTATGAGTGCAGTCTGGAAAAAAGTACGAAAACTGAGTGGTAAATATTCTCCTGACCCGGCTCCTGTTCTGCGGGTTGCCGGTGTTGATATAGCAAACCCACTAGATGTTGCCAATGAATTTGGCAATCATCTGGTCCGTATTTCTCAGGGACTCCATCTATGCCCGTCATTTCCTTCCTCAAAGTCTGCCAGAGAGTTAGCACCCTTGGACTCTTCTTCTCTCAGAGAAGAACAGTATAATGTGCCTTTTACACTTCAAGAACTGGAGGCAACACTCTCAGCTTGCCGATGATCGGCAGCTGGGCCTGACGACATTCATATTCGTATGCTACAACATTTACATCAGTCAGCCCTTGCAGTCATATTATGCCTTTACAATCTTATTTGGTCACAAGGAGTTCTTCCACAGCTGTGGAAATCCGCCATTGTTCTCCCTTTCCGCAAACCAGGCACTACGGGACATGAAACCTCCCACTATCGTCCCATTGCTCTTACCAGTGCAGTTTGCAAAGTGATGGAACGCCTAGTAAATAGACGTTTAGTGTGGTATTTAGAGACACACAACAGTCTCTCCACTCATCAATATGGCTTTCGTAAGGGACGTTCTACCATAGACCCCTTTCTACGCTTGGATACGTATGTTCGTAATGCCTTTGCGAATAACCACTCAGTTATTGCCATATTTTTTGACCTTGAGAAGGCATATGACACAACTTGGAGGTATAATATTTTATCCCAAGCCCACTCCTTAGGCCTTTGAGGCAATCTACCATCCTTCCTTAAGAACTTTTTAACTAACAGGCAATTCCGTGTTCGGGTTAATAATGTGCTCTCCCCGGACTTTATCCAAGCTGAAGGTGTCCCCCAGGGATGTGTTCTGACCACAACACTTTTTCTCCTTGCTATTAATGAATGATTTGGCCTCTAGTCTTCCATCAAATATTTGGTCATCACTCTATGTTGATGACTTCGCTATTGCCTGTGCAGGCGCTGACTGTCACCTTATTACAGTTTCTCTCCAGCATGCAGTTGACCGTGTTTCCAATTGGGCCACCACACGTGGGTTTAAATTTTCCAGCACTAAAACCCACCAAATTACTTTCACTAGACGCTCTGTCATCTCCGATCATCCTTTGTACCTCTATGGCTCCCATATCCCTGAACGTGATACAGTCAAGTTTCTGGGCCTCCTCTTTGATCGTAGGTTATCCTGGAAACCTCACATTACCTCTCTGAAGGCAACTTGTCACAGCCGGCTGAACCTTCTTAAAACCCTTGCTCATCTTTCATGGGGAGCTGATCGTCGAACCCTCCTTCGCCTACATTCCACCCTTATCTTATCGAAACTTGATTATGGTGACCAGATCTATTCAGCGGCATCTCCTGCTACTCTCTCTAGCCTTAACCCCATTCATCACCAAGGATTACGTTTATGCCTTGGTGCTTTTCGCTCTTTCCCTGTCGAGTGCCTCTATGCAGAAACGAACGTTCCATCCTTATCCGATCGCCGTGATGCCCATTGCCTTCGCTACTATGTACGCTCTCATGATCTCCGCAATCCTTCCATTTATAGAATGGTCACTGATATTAGTAGACATTCTTTATTTGTTCGTCGCCCCTGTTTACTCCGTCCCTTCTCTCTTCACCTTCATTCGCTCTTGTCTTCTCTTCAATTACCACCTTTCTATGTACATGTAACATCTCACTTTTCCCTACCCCCCTGGGAAGTTCCAGCTGTTCGAGTCTGTTCTTTCTCTCTCCCTTGCTCGAAAGCCCAACTGTCTACGGTCGCTTCCCGCTCTCTTTTTCTTGACCACTTTCACTCTCATTCTCATGCCATTGCAGTGTACACAGATGGCTCTAAGTCTTCTGACGGCATAGGATTCGCAGCAGTGTTTCCGGACAGCGTCATACAAGGGCATTTACTATCTTCGGCTAGTATTTTTACTGCTGAATTGTATGCCATCCTTACAGCACTTATCCGTATTGCATCTATGCCTGTGTCATCATTTGTGGTTGTCTCAGACTCCCTTAGTGCTTTACAGGCTATACAGAAATTTGATACACCTCACCCTTAGTCCTCCGTATCCAACTTTGGCTACGCCGTATCTTTACCAAGCATAAAGATATTGTTTTTTTGTTGGGTCCCTGGTCATGTTGACGTACAGGGCAATGAACAGGCAGACACTGCTGCGCGGTCAGCAGTAAATGACCTACCAGTTTCATGTAGAGGTATTCCATTTATGGACTATTTTGCTGCAATATCTTCCCACCTTCACACCCGTTGGCAACAACGTTGGTCTACTATGCTCGGCAACAAACTTTAATCTATTAAACCGAGTATAGGTTACTGGCAGTCTTCTTATCACCAGTGTCGAGGTTGGGAGACTACTCTCTCCCGTCTTCGCATTGGCCATACTCGTCTTACTCATGGATATCTCATGGAGAGGCGCCCTGCTCCTCTCTGAGAATTGCGAAGTTCCATTATCAGTCAGCCACATTCTGTTGGACTGCCCACTTTATCAACGAGCACGCAGAATTTACCTCCGTTGTCGTCTTCGCTCTGCTGCTCTCTCTCTCTACCTTCCCTTCTCGCTGATGGACCCACCTTTTATCCAGACTCTCTCATTGACTTTTTGACAACAACCGACTTACTTCACAAATTCTGATACCTTCAGCCCTTTCTACTTCAAACTCTTGCTACCCTCTACCCCCGTACTATCCCCTGCCCCGCTGTTTTCTGTAACCTACTGATCATCCCTCCTCCCTTTTGCCATCCAATACCCTTGCTTCCTTCCCTACCCTGCAGCGCTGTATAACCCTTGTGGCTTAGCGCTTCTTTTTGATTATAATAATAATTAGAGTGTAGGCACTGTACTCCCCACCTCCAGGACTTAAGTCCAACTATAATTGGTTTCCTTGAATCTCTTCACAAAATGTTACCATACTCACACTCCAACAGCTCATCAGGTCCCATAAACCACTCACTCCTAACACACACATTGCATTCTGTTTCCCATTTCAGTATATGAGATGGTAACTTAGTATAATTTCCAACAGTGTACAAGTAATCCTCACCTAACAATACAGATATGCATTCTATAAATTCCAGTTTTACATTGAAATAATGTGAGCTTCTTATGTGAACCAATTTTTCCCAACTGACTCCATTGTGAATTACTCACATGGGTTTAGTACTTTCTCTGAATACTGGATAGCAATTTTTTTTTTTTTTTTTCAACAAGTCGGCTGTCTCCCACCGAGGCAGGGTGACCCAAAAAAGAAAGAAAATCCCCAAAAAGAAAATACTTTCATCATCATTCAACACTTTCACCACACTCACACATTATCACTTTTTTTGCAGAGGTGCTCAGAATACAACAGTTTAGAAGCATACACATATAAAGATACATATAAAGAGGATAGCAATTATCCTCATAAATTTGCATGATATGATTGAAGATAATCTTCTGGAAAAAATAACTATTTTGCCAGTTCATATCAAATAAATCAGGAAGGACTACTTGTGAACCGCTCTTCAAAGGGATGAGAAGCCCCTTATTGTTGCAAAGAAACTTTTGATCCAAGAATCTAGACAAAAATTAGCACATCACATGTAGTAGACTTGAATGAGAAATTAATATATGACCCTGTATTTCACAGCCCTCTACTCATCCATTCACCTCACATCATATTTCTAACAACTCGAGCTACCACGCAAGTGTCTCATTACCACTGTTTTTACTACCATATACTGAGTTGGTTGACCAGCAGTGTATTACTGGTAGACAGTGACGTCAATCCCTGTATCACAATGGAATATTGGAGAACAAAGGGACCTGGGAAGAGCTCCACATGTTTTTCCCTGTATGTTTCTGCCTAAAAGAACTTAAACTATATAATGCAGTCAGACTTCCTGTCTCTGGCTATGCACTGTTACAGTTAATTGATCCTTATCCCAATGAGTCTTACAGACAGCCCTATGTATCTAACCCTGTTTTATAAGACATTTTTTGACTCGTGTGCAGAAAACAGTTAGTTTTCTCTTACCCCCTCTCCCTCCATATGTTGAACACCTGCAGTCATAGACCCCTATATCCATGCTCTCTAGTATATAGATCTTTCTATTTGCTTGTTTTCTATAGCATTGATATTCACCTAGACAGTAATAAACTCCATGACAGTGATCACTTCTGTATTCTCATTATCTTCTGCTCTTGCACTCCTCCAAGTGGTAATATGAAAGCACAAATTGGACACTTTACGCATATCATGCTTCTCTTCTCAATCCTCTTGATTTCCCTGCAAATGAGCTATTGTGCTGCTTTGTTACCTCCATTCTTTGCCACTATGCTTGCCATCCCCTGGACCTCTGACAAATATGATCAGAAATGTGTCCTTTGGTGGTCTCTGGACTGCTTGGACACAAAACATTTCTTGGCTTATAAACAAGCAAGAGTACATTTATATTGTACAAAATGGCTGACAAAAAAGTAGTAGACCCCCTCAGTGTTGCCACATCAGTGAGGCATCACTTTGCATTTCCCAATTATTATTATAATCAAAAAGAAGCGCTAAGCCACAAGGACATTTCCCAAGATCTCCAGTTATCCTCTCTTATCTACACTCCATAACTTGAGTTGGAGACCTCCCCAGCAGATTTCATGCCTCATTCATGTTTCCATCACACTTCACAAACTTATATCAACACTATCTGAATGCCAGCCTCCAACCTGCAGGAGTAGGAAAACTCTTAGAACCCTTATAAAGTACATCAAAGGTGCTGCAACACATACACGCTAGTCTTCCTCTTGGCTTAGCGCTTCTTTTTTTTTATAATAATAATAATAGTCTTCCTCTTGTATCTTTTCAACTGGACAGGGTCCAAAGGTGTTTCACCCCTGTAATGGACAACTGCAGTGGTCTTTCCTTTTCATAAACCTAATAACTCAGGCAGACACAGAATTATTGACTCATCACCTTGCAAATTACAAGAGCACTTAGTTGATAAATAACTTCTGTGGTAATTAGAAATTTGAACCTCTTCCCTTACCAGTTTGGTTCTAAAAATGGTCTTTCTACTATCAACCCCTTTCTGATTCTCAACACACATTGGAATGCATTCACAGATAACTGTTTGGGTATTGCCTTTTTTTTATTATTTAGAGAAAGTTTATGACCTTACCTGGCATTACAACATTTTATTCTAAGACCATTTCTTAGACATACAAGGCAAGCTACCACTTTATCTTGAAGCTTTTCTATCGGAGTGACACTTTAATAAAAAATGCCTTTTATCCCCCTAACTTTGTACAAGTAGAAGGCATACTGCATGGCTGCATCCTCAGTACTACTTTGTTGCTAATATTTATTAAGTCTTGCCTTGGTTCTTCCACAAATATGTGGTTGTTTTTGTGTTGACAATTTTGCCTTCACTTATGCAGACTTGGACTGTTGACTCAAAGCAGCTAATCTCCAATATGCTGTTGATTATATTACTCCTTGAGTCACTTTAGCCTCTGTAACCTCCATTCGATGCCCCATGTGACAGCCTATTTTATACCTGTATGGCTGCCCTGTTTCAATATGTAATAGTTCATTTCTCTATTTGTTGAATGCCATTGAATGCCATGGAAGCCTTGCATCACATCCATAAAAGTTACCTGTCTTACTTGACTTAATCTTGAAATGTTAACCAGTTTTTCTTGGAGCTCTGATAGAAAAACATTTGCCTTCATTTAGCCATAAGTTTGTCTAAGCAAGACTACAGAGATTTAGTACAGTGTATTTCTCAGCCACTCTTAAACTTGATGTTATTCATAATAATGGATTAATTTTGTGTCTGGGAGGCTTTTAGAACATCCCCAGCTGAGAGCCTGTATACAGAATCAAATACTCCTTTATAATATTAATGTGATACCTAAACAGATTGAGTGATCTGTGCAACAAATATTACTTACCGTAAAAATCCCTTTTGTATATATTAACAGAGTAAAAGTTCCAGGAGGCAGTTCATATATTTAGAAAAGCCTGAGGTCTCTGTGCTGTACTCCTTGGAACAAAGACAAGATACTGCTACTAGTTCAGTAGGTGCTGTCACTGGAACATTGTTAAGAGAGGATTACTTGTACTGAACCATCACTTATTGACCTCAGAATTAGCACATTTTTTTTAGAAATTAATGCTCTATTCATGACTTAAAAAATATGAGACTGTACATTATATCAAAATAGATATTTTAGGTTGAATTTTGAAATAAAGTTGAACCCCATAATTTGCAAGGGTTTGGTAATTTGAGGTGATGTAAATCCTGAGCCCACAGAAAATAATAAATTTTACATGTCCAAATTATTTAAGTGTTTTTCATATATGTCTTTAGAAATTCTCTCTCTCAGTCCACAGCAGAATTTGAGCCTGCACACACTGCATCAATGTATGCAGTACTTTATGTACACAGCCAACACCCAGTGGGGTCTGGCTGTGTACAGAGAGATCATGTTTGTGAATAATTTTGCCCATTTTGTGAATTGTTAAGCATATCTCTTTAAATTTTATTTTAATTTACTTAATATTAGCTTTCATAAGAAAGAATGAGCAGATTTTGGCTAAAATCATTTGGTTACTTTTTAATTTAAGAGTCACACACCAAAAATTTGATTGGTAGGAGTTAGCTGTAAAATTGGCCTTCAGTCAAGATATTATATAATCAAGTCATGTGGATTTTGAAGGATGTGAATTTTGGGGGTTCAACACTACATCTTTTCTACAAACCATGACCTAAAACATCATTCCTATAAACACCTCTACAAACAATTACCTTTCGAAACACCTTTCCTTTAAACCATTTCAAAACACCTTTTCTATAAACTATTACCTTTCAAAACACCTTTTCTATAAACTATTACCTTTCAAAACACCTTTTCTATAAACTATTACCTTTCAAAACACCTTTTCTATAAACTATTACCTTTCAAAACACCTTTTCTATAAACTATTACCTTTCAAAACACCTTTTCGTATAAACCATTACCTTTCAAAACTTTACAACAAGACTTTCCATCACCTATCAAAAAATGAGCTATTACAAAGCCTCAGGGTGGTGGTGACTTTTTCATGTACAATACAGCAAGTAATTTGTGCAATTACCTATTCGTAATTCCCTGTACTTATTTGAGTTTGCAATGAATGAGATGCAGCTCTTGGTCAGAGCAAGCAAGTGTGTAAAATTTTAAATTAAGACAGTTTTCATTATACTGTTATGATTGTTATGGTGTAGTATCTGGACAGACATAGTGTGCAAGCAGTTTGTTTAATGTTTAATAAGATGATTTTCACTGAAAGTGGTATCAGACCGGTTAGTTTATTAATAATAATTTTATCTATACTTTTTTATAGTGTATATATCTTTGGAGGCTTAATGTTACCAGCAAAAGTTGTTTTAATATTTATTCGAAATTTCTATGTTTATATGAGTATATGAGTGAAAAACTGCTTTGTAGTAGGAAGGGTTGGTATATTAAAGAATCTAAAGTTTTCAGGTACTATTGCCCTCAAGGGGGGGGGGGAAAGGGGCTTTGATGCTCATGAAGGGCTCTTGATTCAAGGAATTGGCACTGTCTCCCCCTTCTGCCAAGTTTTTTTTTTTTTTTTTTTTTTCATGCCAGTTCCCAGGTGGTGTATGACCTTACAGGTTCAGCACTTCCCCATAATTATAATGATAATCATGTACTGTCCTGTGCTTTCCAAGGTACAAGGAGTTAATGGTTTTAATGTTTTTAATAAAAGATATTATTGTAGTAAAGGCTTGATCTAATGAGACACTTGTGTATGGAAGGGAATGAAAGTGACCCCTCACCTGGAAAACTGTCTGAAAGTTGAATGTCCGGAATATAAGAGTCATCATAGGGTTCTCTTGACTGCAAGTTTTTGGTGAATTGTTCATTTATGATCAGTAATTGATGCTCTTTGAGCATGAGATTCATAACCTTAAAATAAATTCACCAGATATTCATCCGTAACAACTTCAAATCTGAGGTTAACTAAATCTGTGGCAAAAAGACACTATATGCAGTGTGAACCTTTATTAATGGATATTCTGCCCACATGAGCTTGATCAAGTCTCTTAATTTGACTTGATAAAGGAGGGTGTGTAAAGGTAGAAAGTTGAAAGTGAACATTGATAAGAGTAAGGTAATGAGGGTATCAAACAATTTAGATAAAGAAAAATTGGAGATCACATTGGAGGGAGGGAGTATGGAAGAAGCGAATGTTTTCAGATATTTGGGAGTTGACTTGTCAGTGGATGGGTTTATGAAGAATGAGGTTAACCATAGAATAGATGAAGGAAAAAAGATGAGTAGTTCGTTGAGGTATCTGTGGAGACATAAAATGTTATCCCTGGAGGCAGAGAAGGGAATGTACAAGAGTATAGTGGTACCAACACACTTATATGGGTGTGAAGCATGGGTTATAAATGCTGCAGCAAGGAGGAGGCTGGAGGCAGTCAAGATGTCTTGTCTAAGGGCAATGTGTGGTGTAAGTATTAAGCAGAAAATTCATAGTGTGGAAATTAGGAGATGTGGAGCTACTAAAAGTATTAATCAGAGGGTTGAAAAGGGGTTGTTGAGGTGGTTTGGTCATTTAGAGAGAATGGAACAAAGGATGACTTGGAGAGAATATAAATCTGTAGGGGAAGGAAGGCAGGGTAGGGGTTGCCCTCAAAGACGTTGGAGGGAGGGGGTAAAGGAGGTTTTGTGGGCGAGGGGCTTGGACTTCCAGCAAGCGTGCGTGAGTGTGTTAGAAAGGAGTGAATGGAGACGAACGGTTATTGGGACCTGACAAGCTGTTGGAGTGTGAGCAGGGTAATATTTTGTTAAGGGATTCAGAGAAACCAGTTAGCATGGACTTGAGTCCTTGAAATGGGAAGTACACTGCCTGTACTTTAAAGGAGGGGTTTGGGATATTGGCAGTTTGGAAGGACATCTAAACTGTTGTATCTGAGTTCATCTGCAAAGACAGTGATTATGCATGAGTGATGGTGAAAGTGTTGAATGATGCTGAAAGTTTTTTCTTTCTTTTTGGGTCACCCTGCGTTGGTGGGAGATGGCCAACTTGTTAAAAAAAAAAAAAAGCCTATATAATCAGCATATATTTTAGTATCTTGCCATATTTATTGGCAATCCTTGCCATCCACTGTTAACTAAATCTACATAGCGCTTAATTAATCAAAAAACAAAGAAAAGACTTTGAGATTGGGGTTCAAGATTATTTGGTTTAATTAAGTGGGATAAATGAAATAGAATAAGGGTGAGTATGTTTTATTTCATTGTGTTAAACCTATGTGGGTCATTCAGTGCAAGAGCAGTGGAGGCTCTATCCTCAATCTGTTAATGACAACTTTTATACAGTAAATATTGTACATCAGAGAGCAGTGGCTCCAGGTTAACTGTTGCAGTGATACAGAGAAATTGTATTTAAAAATGAAGTAGAGGAATCCATGGTATCTTGGGATAATGCCGGGAGAGGAAAATTGTAAGGGATTTAGTTGCATCTTGATGGGAACGTGTAAGAAGCTTTGTCTGAATGTGATGACTTATTAGGAGTTGTAGGAAAATATTGATGTAGAGTATTCTCTGTCTTGGTGTTGCAAACATCAGTTGAAGGGTCTGCCAAGCCATGCTGAGATTCTATTTGTTTTTATAGCAAGATCTGTTTATTATAGTATGCCACCATTCATTTCAGCTTCTTTCAACATTGTGGTGTTTGGTTAGCACTCTCAGAAAGCACCACCATTAAGGCCAGTTCTATTTGTTTTATTTATATCTAAGATTGATCTTTTGCACCAATTTTGATTATTTTATTCTTGTGTTGTTTCACATTTCTTTTACCATGCATTGCTGAATGATTCTTGCAAGGTGGACATTTTTATGAATATTATTAGTAGAGATGTATTGTCAGTTGTCTTCTGGGGTGCAGTGTGTTAAAAATTGTGCAGCTAAAGCTGATGAATACTATTGAAGTGTAGGCTTTACTATAAACAAATTATTTTTATATTAAGTACAGTTTTTTAAAAAGTTTTTTACACACGACTGAGTAAGGATATAGAATGGGTTATTGAACTTGTATTATGTGGGTGAAAAGTAGGAGGATGAAAGGAAATCTAAATTTAAATGTGTAGTATGTGTTATCAGTGAAAGGTCTGTTTTATCCAGTATTACAGTGCAGTGAAATATAGTAATTTACACTATAGGTACCTAAAAAAAATTAATTGTTTGCAGTATATTTTATGTAGACATGAAGCATTGAGTCTAAGTATTGATGGAAAGTCACAATACTGTGACTGGAGCCATTCATATATAACCCAAAATCGTCATCATGTCCAGGACATGATGATGATTTTGGATTATATATATATATAAATGGTTTCAGAGCAGGCCAAAATGTTATCCGAATTTCTCTATAAATTGAGGGTTAGTTGTAAACAGAATGAAACATGAGGAGTTAAAAAAAAAAAAATCACAGTACTGTACATGTAGTTGGAAGAATTCACCAAAAGCCTGCGCTTAGGAGAGGAAGCTTATGATGATATTTTGGTCCATCCTGGACCATTGTCAGTCACAACAATGGATCAAAACCAACCAAAATGGTGTCATAAGGTTCCTCTCCTAAGTGCTGGTGTTTGGTGAATGGGACATACGATACTGTATAATTTTCTTAGTGTGATATATGTGTGGTCAGTATTAATGTGAGCCATAACTTCAGATTGTTGCTGATAGCAAAGTTTATAACAGTTGAGGCCATTGTTTGGTACAGAAAATAAACTTATCTGCTCTGACATAAGATAAGTTTATGCCATTGACCAGGTTTAGAAGAGTAACTGCTAGATCTGATCAGAAACACTCTTACTAGTGAGATAAGTTATAAAAAACTAGAATCTGATGCCATAATTGAGAACCTGGTAACATTGCATGGAATAAGGTTGCATTTCTTATTCTAGCCAGGAAGCCCATGTTTATGAGCACTCTGCTCTTGGAAGAGTTTTAATAAATGTTATTGGTATTATGAGTATTCCCTCTTCACACTAACAGAAGCTTTTTTTTTTTTTTTTTAAATTAGAAGTAGAGAATCATAAAGCTGTTCTTGAGGTAGTTAGCAGTGATGGGGCAGAAAACTTGCTCACTTCATAATTAATAGTGATAGCTTATTCTCATTATTTTAACTGTTGATTGATGGCTCTTCTTGTAGTCATTAAAATTTGCTCTATTCAAAGATTGGTTTAAAGTGGTTTAAAACTATCTTTTGTGCAATAACCCTTTCAGTGGGCATCATGTAGAACTATGTCATTGGGGCCAGGGTCCCCTCATGTAGTTCTTTGTCATGAGATATGCTACGAGTGGTAAATTTTGGCCAAAATATGAGAAAATGGATTTGTGCAGCAAGTGTTACAGCATAAAAAAATTCTGCCCTATGCAGTGCTTGATGGGAAAAAGCAAAACTGTATTTGCTTTAAAACAACAACTTTGAGGTGTTTTCTAGGATTGTTTTTATGGTATTATTGGCTGTTTTTTTGTATAATTTTATAGAAAAGAAAGCATACTACTGAAGCAGAGATAATTTTGGTTGAATTCAGGACTGGAAGTACAGTAGCTTGAAATTGGGCTGAAAATAACTGAAATATTAAATTTTTGCCGATTTTTCAGAGGACAGGTAAGGCCCCCTACACTCCCCTGAGTGTTTTTTTTTATTTTTTAATAGGTCTGATTCAGTTATTTGGATGCTGTAACACATGGCCAATCATTCCTAGTTATTTTTTATTATCAGACAAATAGAGTAAATCTTCTATTTTTGTGTGATTACTTCAAGGTGTAATACTCCTCAAAACATGGTGGTAAGTCGCACTATGACTTTCTTGGGTTATCCTTGATTAATTATTATATTATTGTTATATTTAGGTTCAAGGGTATTCTGGGTCATATAAAAAATATCATTTCTGTGTCCATAACACCTGTGTGCCTTTAAGACCACTCCAAAATATATTTACATGGAAATAAGTAACATTGTTTGACTATATTGGGTTATCCTATGTTAATTCTACATAATGTACCTTTTGGCTAAACCCCACTGCTAGTAACACAGATTGGTAATAAGTATGGAATGAATAAAGTATCTTCCTGGCAGGTCCATACCCTGTTTCCTAGCAGAGAAGCTGGTAATGGCACACCTGTTGTTTGCACTGTTTACCTATTCTAGTTAAGCAGTGTTATCCATGATGCACTGCATGGACTTGCCTACTTAGATTTTTTTCAAAGGCAAGAAGAGGTTGCAGGAAACCCAAACAGTTGAGCTGAAGTCAAAAATAATGGTAGGTGGCATATTTTGAGGCATGAAAAATTGTGTGTACTAGTACATTGGACACATTGTTACCTACATACTAGTACATTGGTCACAGTCTTGTCACTCACATACTAGTACATACATTGGATGCATTCTTGTCACCCACATACTGGTACATTGCACACGTTCTTGTCACCTACATACTAGTACATTGGACACATTCTTGTCACCCACGTACTAGTACTGTGGTCACCTCTTATAGGATTAAATGTTATTTTGAATTCATTAAGTAAGTTATAATTTTTTTAATTCATCTGGGAGGTTAGTCCACATTTTTGGCCCTTTTACTTGCATTGGGTTTCTATAAAGTTTCCGACAAGCACAAGGAATATCAATGTACTTGTTTCAGGTGTGATGCCTGTGGGTTTTGTTCTAGTTTTCCAAGAAACAAGTTAGGTCATTATCAGTCTTACAGTGTGGTGTTTTGAATATGTGGAGTGAATAGTACTAAATATACATGATATTAATATTTAGTAGGTTTAGAGATCTGAATAAGGGCAAATTACATTGCTTATAATTTGAATCCTAATAACTGCCTTTTATTGACAGAGAATTTTTTTTGAGGTGGATATTTAAGGTAGAAACCCTGGCATGAATTCCATAAGTGAGATATGGGTAAATGAGAGAGAAGCAGCATAATGTTAGCAGTATATATTGGGGAACATAATAGTAAATTTTGGAGTCTATACTATACTGTACCTCCATTTTATGATACTTTTTTATAAGCTGGATATGAGCATTAAATTTTGATTTATTGTCTACAAGCCAACCTAGAAACTAGCTCTCCTCTCTTTTCTCTACCTCAGATTCATTAATATTGATATTTAATTGTGGACATGGCTTATGCTGCAGAATGTTTTTTCTGTATTAACTAAGCTTATTTATCATGCAGGTTCAGAGCTGCATTTAGTGTTGAAAGTCAGAGGTGTCAGAGCTTAAAATGTAGGTTGTATCATCAGTTAAGCTTTAAATGCTGTGTGGTATTCAGTACAGAGGTACAGAGGAGGAAGAGAAGAAGACTTAGGATGTTACATTGGGAGACACCTGATGTAATTTTAGTTGAAAAAGAGCCATTTATGACTACATGCTATTTTCTTTTAATTAAATAGAATCTAAAGAAGCTGTGTGCATGCCCTCTTGAGTTCATAGTACTTAAGTTTGTGAAGAAGACTATTATGATAATCCTTATAATAATAATAAAAAGTCTGATGAGATTCTTATCTCTTTCAAGTGCTGCATAAATTGTTTAAAACATTTTTATAATTGCATCACTAATGCATTTTGTGGGTCCAAAAGCAAATTGGCTAGGAGTAAGCACATTATGTTAAGTATAAGTACAGCTGCTTGTGGATCACTTTTAACCCTTTGACTGTTTCGGTCGTATATATATGTCTTACGAGCCACCATTTTTGACGTATATATACGTATATACGTATATATATGTATTTTTTTTTTCAACAAGTCGGCCGTCTCCCACCGAGGCAGGGTGACCCAAAAAAGAAAGAAAATCCCCAAAAAAGAAAATACTTTCATCATCATTCAACACTTTCACCACACTCACACATTACCACTGCTTTTGCAGAGGTGCTCAGAATACAAAAGTTTAGAAGCATATACGTATAAAGATACACAACATACATGTATATACATATATACATATATACGTATATACGTATACTGTATATACTTCAAATCAAGCAGGAGAAATCTGGTAGGCCCACATGTGAGAGAATGGGTCTGTGTGGTCAGTGTGCACCATATAAAAAAAATCTTGCAGTATGCAGTGCATAATTATAATTAAAATGCCGACTTTGTGGTCTATTTTTGTATAGTATTTATGGTTGTATTCTCGTTTTCTTGGTCTCATTTGATAGAATAGAAAAAATATTATAGAGATAGAGGTGATTTTGATTGGTTTTTCTATGAAAAGAACATTGAAATGGAACTCAAAGTAGAGGAAATGTTTGATTTTTGCCGATGTTCAAACGTAAACAAATGATGTCATTTTCCAATTAATGTCCAAGTAGCCATTCTAATATGCAGTCATGAATGGGTTGACATTATTTATACAATTATTACAATATTGCAGTAGTCTGCATAACAGTAAATCTTCTATTTTTTGTTTGAATAAAAATTCAAAATAGAAAGCAAGAGTAATATCAGAGAGGACTGGAGATATGACTGATGAACAAAGAAAATGTTATTTTAGAGCCAGGAATGTCTGCATTGCTCATTCTGGACCCTATTTTGAAATTCATATTTTTTAATTTTTGTGAAATTGGTCAAATTGCAAATTTCTGACCACGTTATTGGGTAGTTGAAATCGGTAAATGGGCAGTTTCTTGTACTCAGTCAATAGAAAAAATGGAATTCTAAAGAAATAGCTATGAATTTGGTCGACTGGAACAATGGAATTAGCCGAAAATAGGGCTCAAAGTGGGCGAAATCCCCAATTCGTAAATATCGCCGAGGTCACTTAATTCGTGAGAGCATAATTCTGTCAGTTTTCCATCAAATTTCACTCTTTTGGTGTCATTACAACCGGGAAAAGATTCTCTATCATTTCATAAGATTTTTTTTTTTTTCCGGAAATTTTGCGACACCAGGAGACACCATAGGATTTGGGGTTGCGACAGTCAAGGGGTTAAAATACTTTT